AAACAACATATGGTATCTCGATCTTCTGTCGAAACGAAATACGAAGCAATGGTAAATCTTTGTTGTGAACTGACTTGGCTCAGGTATTTGCTTAAGGATTTAAAGATTGAACACCCTCAAGCAGCAATCCTAAATTTTGACAATAAGTCTGTAATTCACATAGCTACAAATTTGGTATTTCATGAAAGAATCAGACACGTTGAGCTTGATTGTCATTTGGTTTGAGCCCAACATATTCCCAATACATCACAAACTGTAGTTATTTTAACCAAGGCTCTAAGTTCCCAAAGTTTTTACTCTTGCTTATCTAAGATGGGAGTGATGAACATCTCTTCTCCATCTTGTGGGAGGCTATTGACGCTGGAAGACATGAGTCACTTGGAGCATTTGCACAATCAACAATAAGCTGGCCAGGATGGACTGATGACAAGGCAGCAACAGAAGAAAATGTAGAAAATTCATGTTTATTTCCTGGATATATCCAAACAAGGTGAAACTTCTCTTGTAGTAAAAGGTATCCTAAAGCAGCAGAGAGGCTGTGGACATGATCGCGAGCGAGCAATCTTAATTTGTGGGGTTCCACCAGAGGCTGTCAAAGTCTTCATTCGTTTCTTATATTCTTCCTTGTAACTTTCAATTTCTCAATCTTTTTACAATGGTATTTTGCATTCATATTAGCTCCACTCCGTACTTTACCAATTTGCAAGTTGTGCTTACATTGCTATGAAGAGTAAAAAATGGAAGAATTTGCACTTCCTTTATTGGTGTTGTCAAGTGTATATGTTGTTCCTCGGCTGAAGCAACTCTGTGAGTTGTGGCTAGAATAGTAATTGATGAATATCGAGAATTGTTGTATATGTGGCTCATATAGAGTGGAACACAAGTTTACTGGATCAAATAGGCCAATGTCGGAGCAAAGCAGAGTGGAGTGAGGGGATCAAAGCGCACCGAATAGAACGAAGCGTTCCGAAGTAAGCTGGTTGTAATCCTTTCTCGAATGATTCTAGCAATTTGACCAGAATCCATAGTTGTCGATCTCGAGGCCGAGGTTACATTTGGGACACCTGAGGTTCTTGCTTTACCTTCACCAGAAATAGGGTTTGGTGATCGGGCTCAAGCATCATTCAAAAAACCACTTTGGTTTGTCGGCGTAGGTGATGGATGTGAATTTCTTTGACTCAGCAATTGAGTTCGCGTGGTAACCTGTTGATGGAGCTCTTTAAAGGCTCTGGCTGTGACAATTGCTGACTGGGGTGCAGGTATTTTTTATGACTCTGCTTGAAGAACTAGGGGATCTTTAAGAGGAGGAGGGTTTGAAACGGACGAGCTTGCTGGAGGAAGACTTGATTATGACCATGACTTTTGGTAGCGCTTCCCATAGAAGGCGCCAAAATTCTACCAAAAATGGTACCTGCCAATTTTTGAGCTTAACGAATGAAAATGAGCACGGGCAAGATCTTTCGGTATATGCAACAAAGGCGTCGAGGTGTGTTCTCGTATTTATAGAGATAGATAGTGCACTTCTGGTAGGATTCAATTAGTTGAATATCCTTGTCTGAAGGAGTCCTATTTGATACAGATGTTGCACTTGTGTTACGATTGTAATCCAAGTTGTAAAATAGTAATACTGTTGAGGTAGAGTTCTACTAGGCATAGGAATCCTGGGTTGAGAAGTTTGAGTGAGATTAGAATCCTTTTAGGGCAGGATATCTTTGAGTTTAAATGGGAGGGACATCAAAACGATGCTAAGGAAATAGACCGAAGACCAACTAAAATTTGAGGTAACATGTAATCTCAAGGACGTCAGGGCCGAAATCGTCCAAGAGGTGCGGCTCTAATCCTCGAGCATATATCCCTGAGGACACATATACTTGAGGATTTCATGGCTTATATAACATGAACAAGCATATGAGTCCTTTGGTGGTGGAAAGAGTCCACATCAAATTCCATGTTGATCTTTACTCGTTTAGGCGAAAAAAGAGAGGACGAGAAAGATTAACGAGCGAAATTTTTTTCTATAACTATACGAGGCAATGGGCTAGAAATGCTTATTCACCACTTTGCTTAGTGTAAGATGAGAGGTTTAGTGATGGCAAAAAAACTCGCCCAGTGAACAGAAAAAATAAAAAATATTATTTTTGGACAATTCACCCGTTAAAAAACACATTGTAAATATGACAGAGACCATTTTCATTATGAAAAGGTTAGCAAATATATGCTTTTTTGCATTTTGCTTTGGGGGGTTTAAGCATTCACATTAATAATGCACATGACAATATTATCATTGCTTCAGCACTATTTGAGAATTTGAACAACTTACTTGTTGATATGCATGGAAACAGATAGCAGCAATGAGAGATCTAGTAGAAATCTACTTGACGTTCAACCCATGTCAAGCAAACTAATATGATAATCAATTTCTACATTTTTTCTGTTTTTTTTATTTTGATCAAGCATATAAAGTATGCTCATTATCAAAGGCATAACAAAAATGAATTATAGGTATTTTCACTCCTGAGATCTACTTACAGCAGTTTCAATGAAAGTAGGTGTAAACTTAATTCCTTCCATAAATGTAGCTGTAGGGTCTAGCAAGAAAAATGACATAATTGTGATTATCGAGAAATGTGATTATCGAGAAGACAGTAATTTTAAAAAAAAAAAAAAAAAAAAATGGGGCAACAAAGTCGCGCCGTGCCCCTCTACTGTCCTTAAAGAGGTCCTTAGTGGCTCCATTCATTGCAAGAGAATGTGGATATTATAAATAAAATTATTTTGACTGTTCAACCTTATCTATTGAGTTATTTTTCTTCTATTGTAAATAAAATTATTTATTTTGACTACCGATGTTTTGTAATGTTAAAATACTAAGAAAATGTTAAGTTCCAGAATAATGCTATCTAACCTCACTTGTGATACAACATCAATTTACATGGCGCTAAGTGATAGTCTGAATAAAATGTAGAATTAAATTATTCATTTAATAATATCTTTAATTTAATGTCACATTACTGCAAGTATTTTAATTTTAGTTGTAGGGAATGTTTAATTGACTTTATTTTTTTATAAAAATCATTTTTTAAAAAATTAATCACGTGATCATATTTATTAAAAAACAAAGAAAACATTTCTTTAAGAACGGCCAGGTAGGTTTTTACTTTTTATTTTTCCAACAGTTCTCCCTTTCTCACTTATCCTCTTCTCTTTCATCTACCTACTAATAAAAGATGGACAAATATAAAATTAAACAAATCAAATGCATTCAATTAATAATTTCCATACAAATAAGTTTTAAGCAATTTATTTGTCTAATTTTTATTTTTTTTTCATTTCATGCAAATTTCATACTTACAATCAAACACATCCTATTGAAATAAATGATAGCAAAATTCCTATTTGATTTTAATTCTAATTTAAAGAATGGAAAATTTCATAAGTAAGAGTTTAAGTATCACATATTTCAAAATCAACAAAATAAGTTTCAAACTTCAAAAATCATATTTTTATTAAAATTTATTTATGATTTAATTAATTAATTATATTAAGGTAAAAAATCTATACAATTTGATCACAAATTAACAATTTAACTAATTACTTATTATTTTTTGGTCACAAATTAAAAATTTTATGTCACAAATTATTCTACGATTACAAATCAAAATTTTTGTAGGTCATAGTTTGTTTATCGATCAAAAATCAAAAATTTTATAGATCGCAGATTATTTTTCGGTCACGAATAAAATTTTTTATAAATCACAAATTATTAATTTTTTAGATTACAATTTACCTTTTTCATTGGTCACAAATTGACCAATTCACTGGTTACAATCAACCAAATAATTTATAATCACAATCAACACTTACGACCACCACTTCAACGCTACTTCCAACAACACCACCATCACTGTCACCGCAAAAACCCACCACCATATTAATCACAAATTAATCATTTATTGGTCACAACTTTCAATCAACCAATAAAATCGTCACAAACACCTACACTCATCCCATCACTCCAAAGCACTGAACCACCGCCAATCACTACCAACGATATCGCCCACTTCGTCGACATCGCCAACAGTACAACACCAATAGCACCCACGCCCCCTCCCACCACTCCAAAGCACTGCACCACAGCCAACAACCACCAGCGACGCCACCCACCATTACCACCATCAACATCACTACCACTATCACACCAATAGTAACACCGTCACCATTGCAGCGAGCGCTGCACGAATAGCGGCAGCGCTGAGGCACTGCAAATCGACCTATACCACCACCGTACCGCAATCGCCACCTCACAAGCACCATCACCACCAACTGCAAAAAATCACCTACAAACCACAAAAACACCACCACACCACAAACGTCGCCATCTGCGAGATATCATAGACTCCCAATGTCACCACAAGCACCACCAATGGTACCGAAATTTGTATACTGCTTGTCGCTCCACCTCGTATAGCATCGAGATCTCTCAGCGCTGTTCCAGATCTCGAAATCTTGCAGACAACTCCATCATCACTTTGTAAATGGCGTCAATCGACAACATTAACACAGCCATCGAAATCTATATAGCTCGCAAAGATCGTAATCTCACACCACCGCACCTCACACAGCTCCCAAATTAACGCACCTCATCGCTCCACCTCGCAGATTAACGCCGCTCGTGCGTTACACCTTGCACAGATTGAAGTCTCACGTCTCCCCACCTACGACAGCTGCTCCGGTGTGTGATAAGAGACATGTAGAGATAATAGAGAGAGATGAGAGAGGGAGGAGGGAGAGGGAGAGGGAGAGGGAGAGGGAGGAGATGGGTTTGTGTCTTTTGCTGCGTAGTGGGTAGGGTTTTTAATTTTTGATAATTAGTATATTTGAATAATTAAAAAAAATTTAATTTTTGAAATATCAATTTTCTAATCTGAGTTTAGAATATTGAATATTTAAAGTGTAGTCCGGAGTAATTTCCACTTTAAAGAATTGGAAACTATTATAAATGTTAAAATGAATTACTTCAAATTAAATTGTAAAAAATGAAGAAGTTTATTATTGAAATAAACATTATAAAATACAGAATCTCAAAGACTTCCATCCTAATTCGTGCAACTGTCAATTGATCCCGCCTCTCTTCTACTCAAGAGCGAAGGTTTTTTCAACACCGAGATAAATTCATTTCGATGATCGTGCTCCGACGGGAATTCCGATCCATCAAATTTCGGTGCGTTTCTGTCATTCTCAGTCGATTTCTAGTTTAAGAATAGACGCATTATGCAAATTGTTACAAACCGCAAAATCAAAGTTCAGGAGTTACGGCATGAAGTGATAACCAACTATGCAGACGAAAGTGTGATGAATAATTGTACGAAGTAATTTCTTTACCTTATTTTGGATTGGATGAATCAAAGCATTTAACAAAATTAGTCTATTCATGATGCCTTGACTTGCTTTTATGTTCTCTTGAATGGCTATGTAAATCGCTGCTTTAACTAGTTCCGTATAGAGTAGAAACATCCATTTGCTCTCAAACTGCCCATCTCCTGGTGTTGAGGCAATCCTATTTGACATTGTATGAAAGTCATTTGTATTAATCCACAGGTTCTTTTGTGACGGTTTGCCTGCAGATTCTGTAAGCCTTTCAATCGGTGCATTTCTCTTTTTTCTGCTGGAATGTAGATGAAGCTGTATAATTCGATCTGATTCTATACATATGCTTCTGAGGTACTTGTATATTCATGTTTATCCCTCTCTGTTAACATTCTCGTCAGCAAACTATGGTGAGGCTATTGCGTTGCTTGGGCTTTAGCTAAGATGACATGCTTTCATCGTCAGAACTTCTATCACGTTCTATATTATATCTATTGAACACTGGAAGTGATGCAGTTACAGGAATTCTGAATGATCTTGCAGAACCTATTGTTGTTCTGTCCTGCATTGTCCCAACATCTTTGCAGACGCTATCCAACGTGGAGAGAAAATCTCGCACAATCATGAAAATCCTGAATGGATGGGCCTCCTCTCTTACAGCATCTCCATGGAAATACTCTGTCAGCTCTTTCACCAATGACAAGGTTGCCCTCTCTTCAGCCTTAACCCCATTGATTTCCTTTTGAGCATAGTCAAGAAACATTTGCATTGACTTAAAAAAATTTCCTTGTGAATTTTGTTTCTCATGGAGCAAAACCGATCTGACTTTCTCAAGTCCTATTTCAAGCTTGGAGACATAACTACTCAATAAATCTGAGTCCATACCTGCTGCCCTTCTGACATTGCCAAGCTCTTTGCTTAACCCTGCTACAACTTGCAACCCTTGCCTTTTAAAATCCTCCTCTTTAAAGCTGAAGTTTGTTTTATCTGGCATACTTTGATTAGTTGGATCAGAATCTGCTCCTTCCGATCTGAGAATCTCTTGGACCACAAAGTGTAGTAAAGTTGTCTTACCATCAGTTCCTTTTATATCTACTAATTTCAACAAAGTATCAAGTTTAAAAGCTCTGGCATCACCACGGTTGGTACCAACATTCATTCGGTTTCCTGTCCTTAGAACAGCCTCAAGGAGTTTAAGGAATAGGCGACTGTTTTTCAGTTCTTCACTTGCTTCCTGCACGGTGTAATGAGTTAAATGCAAGAAAGTTCACGCAAACTAATAGGCACTGATATTTCCAGTTGCACTTGAATAGCATTTGGTTAGGTGATTACTATACAGGCATGCACTTGAACTATTTCTTTTACATGCCTTGTCATTTCAACAACCAAGCTAAATGGAATAATTGATAGTACCTCTATGGTTAGAAAGGACTTTCTCAAGTATTTTACTTCTGTATCAAAGTTTGCTCTGTATAACATTGCTTCCACTCGTTTAAAGGCAAATGGAATATCAAGAACTGCCTTGAGGAATCTTTCCGCTGTCCCTAATTTAGAGATGTCACCATTGTAGTCTTTAAGTTTTATTTCTTCCTCCTTGGTCGGTGTCATCTTCACTAAAGTCTCTAAAAGGTCTGCACCTAATCCATCTGGATTTCCTGCACCACCAAACGCACTTGCATCGGTTATGACTGGGGACCGTAAAAGAGTAGTTTAGATATGAAATTTACGACTTATAAGTAAGGTTAATTGTATTGGGACAGCTTGTGTGTTCTGTTATTTCACATCTGAGAGTGCTGATGCAAGTTTTTATGATGGTACACCGTATCACTGGTAATTGCATGTGCAAGAAAAGTATGCTTCTGAAGTTGATACAAGACTAAGGAAGGGCATATAGATTTCAGTTAACATATAACTTTTTACCAGTATGTCTTATAACGAAATCTAAGTGAAAGGGTCATAATCATACAAATATATCCAATAAAGGCAGAGTGAAGTAGAATGTTTTAAATGCAAGACACAACAAGTGGTGAACCAAGCGTTGGCATGAAGGAAAAAGCTAATTTCTTCCTTTACCCTTATTTGCCTCTAAAGATAGAGATCTTCCTACAATCTGCCTTTATCCCTTGTTGCCTCTAAATAAAAAACTGACAAAATTAAACCACCCACAATGAGTGCCTTCTCAATTGTTTCGGGTCACTAACCTTGATTATGATAATAATCCATTAGCTTGAATTACCAAATTTTTAATTGCTCTGAGGTTGCATCTCTATTAGGATGCTTTTATCATTCTAAATCCATCAGCAGTGTAATGTTTAAGGAGAAGAGAATGGGGGTGTATTAGTTATTATTTTTAGTTGCTGGTCTTTGAAAGTATTACCCTATGATGTGGTTTCTATATTTTCAACTAATATGTGATGGCGAACCTTGCTCCAAAGGGAGTAAGTTCCATTGTCCTTTTGAGGATTTTTGAGTAGGTAGAAAAGGGTGGCAGTAGGTGACGGACTCACAAACTCCCAAGTACAGAGACCAGTAATAAATTAACTCGTTCTGGTCAAATAGAAGAATGAAGACTGGGTTATAGAACATAAATCCTGTGATTGATATTGTGTAGCATCTTTTATAAGCATCCATATCCACCAATTCGTGCTCGTTGATGGGATCTTATTGTTATACCTGTCTTCTTCTATAGATCAATTACCTAATACTTCTGTTATTCAAGTCCACTTGAAATGACTATAAATTTTTTTTTTGTTCGTTTTGTACCTGATTCTGTTTTAATCTGTGCTTAATCCTCATAGAAAGAAGCAAATGAATATGTTCAGATATTTTGCATCTGTTTAGAAATTATTGGATAACTTGAATTCACTTGGATCCTGCAGGAATGAAGACAGAATTTCATACCATCTAAAAGTGCTTCAGAAACCTCATCCCTTGTCACATTCAATGCTCGTAATAGTATAGCTATGTTCTGAGACTTCTTTGGGTCCAGCACTCTGTTCTCCATTTCTAAAGGAGGGAGGACCGACTTCCTAGTTGCTTCTTTAGGAACTGAATTTGCAGAACTCCATCCAAAAAGTGATTCCATAGCGTCCTCATTTAACCTACAGGTTGATATCTTCTAGTGAAAGATTGCAAATTGCTATCAGTAATAGTACACTAAGAAATGTATGCCGTTTTACTTACTGGAAAGAGCTAGAATTTAGTTGGTCCCAAACAGTGGCTCTGTCAGAGGTTGTTCGTACTTTGTCCCAGTGAAAAGGCTTCAACTTGGGTTTTGATCCTTCACTGTCCTCTGCATCTTGTTTCTCCGATGAACTGACACCTGTATCAACTTCTTCGACTGGACTTGTCTTCTTAATCCTTGGAGTTGCTCTGGGGCTAGGACTCCTTGATTGTGACCTTATCAGCGTGGAAGCCAGTGAAGGTGTATTTTTTACAGTGCTCAATTTTCTGGAAGTGGGCATTGGCGGTGGTGGTGGAACTGGGATTTTGGATGCCTGCTGTACGTCATTGTTTATCCATTGAAGCCGTCCAATATCCGGTGGTGGAGGTGGTGCTGAAAATTTAGGCCTTTTAGGAATATATGGTTGAGCTGATATGCTAGGCTTCCCTTCAGATTGCTTCAGTGACTCTAAGGAAGAAGCTGCTGGTGGTAGTGGTGGTGGCGGTGGAGGAGGAGGAGGACGAGGAGAAGGAAACGGATAAGGTGGTAGCAATTCGTTAGTTGTTGGAATGATAGCATGTTTTGTATCTGGGGAAGACATTGAAAGGCGAGACTTTGGTGAAGTTATCTTCGGTTGAGGGACAACATGATCCGGCCTGGCCTGGTGCATCACGCTAGAATTATTGCTTGGATAGCTGTGGCGTGAACTGGGGGACATGTTGCTCACTGATGAGGCGTGTGCGCTGTAAAAAGTAGTATCATGACTCTCATCGTCTGATGATGACATGGGCGGTGATAAATTTATGCTAGGAGGTGGCGGGGGCTTGTTCAATGGTGGCAGTGGCTGAAGGTCAGGACTAGGTCTATACCGTTTCTGATCAGATCTTTCTATAGATTTCAAATTTTGACTGGGCGAGATATTGACAACATTTGTCTCGCTCACTGATCTTGTAATGGCCGGCTCGACCGTCCCAACATATAGAAAAGTGGACGGTCCTACTCCCGGGTCTTCATTGATCCTCTGTGAATTACCACTAACAAGCTTTTGCGAAACATCAGAATGTTTCACTCTGTGTTTGTAGAGATAGAATGCCAGTGCCGAAAACATTCCCAACGTAACAATCCCAACAGATATTGCAATTGCCAATTTCTTTGCTGGCTTGGATGGTTGAGTGACAACTGGATTCCCCACTGTAGTGCCACTGGCTGGTGCCTGTGGAGACTGTTGGACCTGATCAGGAGTCGACCCGTTGGGGAGTTCATGGAAGAAGGGCTGGTCCTGATCTGGTGATTCTGGCCTGTCTGGAGGAGGTGGCGGCGATAATTCTGATTGAGGTGGAGGTGCTGAACTTGCTGGAAACAATGGTTGGTGCAAAATTCTCCTTTTTTTCTTCCCACCATGAGAATCTTGAAATCTATGCTCTTCTCCTTTTGTGATTTGGAGTTTGAAATATGTAATCAATGATAGAATCAAGAAAGCGATCATAAAACGAGGTCTCATTTTGCTGTTTTCTTGACAAGAAGCTCCTTTTTGTTCTTTTCTTTCTTCACCCTATTCATAGCTGATCTGGTTCCTAACCTCTGTGTCACCAAGACTCTGTGTGACAGAGAAAGATCCTGTAAAAGAGAAGCTTCTCTAATTGAAGATCTAGTTGCTCAAAGTGGAATAATCTCAACCTCAGCAGCAACCACGCTTTTTCATTCAGGTGTGTTCACATTTGTTTACTAATACGGAGCTACATATTTCTTGCCTTCAACTCTGTCCAAAGAGTTTAATTGTATTTCCAAATTATTAGCCCCCTTAATTATTTTCTAGTAACATATTTGGTCCGAGTGGTGTCACTCAATCCTTGGATTCTAAGCCTATTGTCCTCATGTTTATAAATTATTTATAAACACCAGTCACTTTTTTATTTATAAATTTTGAGGGACTCACAAGCAATTTTCACTTACTTCTCGTTATTATTTATTTATTATAATTTCAACTGTTTACATACACTTTCTAAAAATAATTTAGTTTAAGCAGTTTTACAGAAATATATTCTAGTTTTTCCAAAATAATTATTAAGAAGAAGATGAATAGAATATGGCCTTATTTTGTGCTTTTGAAAATTAATGGGCAACGATGACCATGCAGCTAGGGTAGAAGGACCACGTTAGTTACTTTTTGTTCTAAAGAATTTTTAGAATATTTGCTTTTCGTGATTGCCAAGTGGGTGGAGGAACATGTTAGAGCATTTCACTTAAATAAGAATAATGTTATCTAGTATATTAGAATATCAATTTATGTAAGATTATATGATAGATTCAATTAAATGTAAAATTATGTGATTTATTTAATTATACCTTTTATTAAATGATTCTTAGTGTCACCTAAACTAGTATTGTAACATCAGTGATGTTAAATAACATTATTTTTTATACAACTTGCATTGTTCAATTGTGGAGAGCAAAATAAGGATGGAGAAAAGAGCAAGATTGTGGATTGAACTAATTGTTAGTTTTTGTGTGAGAGGACGTGGGAAAAAATCAAGATAAATTTTGAATAGTTAAGCCCCTGTTTTGGTGCTTATTTTTCAAGTAAAAAAATTCATTTTTTGATCGTTACTTAACATAGTGAGTCTTTTTTTTTTTTTTTTTTTACTCTTTCACTCATAAGTAAGATCCATTTTTCAAGTTAATAGTCAAAAAATTAATTTTCAAAACCAGCGCAAAATAGGCTTTAAATGAATTCATGCTTTATGAAAATAAATTATAAAAAATTAATTGATGATGTGATAAACTTTTGATGTAATCCAAAACGGCAAAGCCCATTGAAGATGCTTTAACAGTGTTTTGTTCTTGGTGCCGTTAAATCCCACTGTACATTTTGCACAAATCAATTTCGTGTCCCCTGATACCATATACGTGTCACTTTTGCATTGAGGAACGGTTGTGATTGATGGGGACGTGATGAACGCAATAGTCAAATAATTCTGCATTTTCAAGTCGTTCTTTTCCTCTTCTTTTACATTTTAGTTCAAAATAAATTTGTTTTGTGGAAGTCATTATCTTTAGAATTATTCTACAACAAAGTTATGGGTTTTTGAGCTTAAAATTCGATCCATAGATATATGGTCAAATTCAGTCTTCGAAAAATATCTAATTTTTGGGCATGTTTGGAAGTGATTTTTTCTCTCAAAAAATTAAATTTTTGATCGTTATTTCACTATTTCAGTCGTCATATTTGACTTCTTCTTTTACATGTGGATTCCACTTTTCTCCTAACGGTCAAAAAATCAATTCTCAAAATCACTCCCAAACAACATTATTAGTTTTACAAAAATGCAGTTTATTAGAGTTAAAATAGGGTTGTGTATGTATAATAATTTCCGAATATTTGATCCACCGACGAAGACTATATTGCGTTTTAGCTTTTCTTTTTCTTTCTATTCGCCGTTAGCTTGAAAGTGACTGGGGGCAACTGATAAAATAGGGTTGTGTATATATAATAATTTCCGAATATTTGATCCACCGACGAAGACTATATTGCGTTTTAGCTTTTCTTTTTCTTTCTATTCGCCGTTAGCTACTTAGCTTGAAAGCGACTGGGGGCAACTGGCTAATTGATCATACCACAACAAGAAGAGGTCTGTTGCACGTATGCTATTTGTCATTTATGAATTTTATTTTTATTTTTATTTTTATTTGCGTTTCGTAGTACTCCCAAATCTACAATTGTTCATATGGGTTGGATAATATATATCTATATAATTTATAGAATAGACTGTGGGATTTTAATAATTTCTACTCAATTAACCAAATTAAATTATTAATATTTGAGCACAAATATTAATAGTTTTGTAGATTCTTTAAAAATTCTTGGCGCTCAATAAGTAACATTAATGATGGTCTTGTTTGTGATTTGTATTATATCTCTTTTACACAATACAGGAGTTTTGAAAATCATGTGGTCGACCTTCAAGTGGTTTTTAATATAATCTTAATAGCTTGGTCACAACTTACGAAAGCGATATATTTCTTTGTAATAGAGCCCCGTTTGATTCTCATTAATTTCCATTCCATTGCATTTCATTTCTTCTATTTTTAATCACACAATCTTTTATAAAATAATATTAAATATAAATCGAAAACTTTTCTTTATTTTTCGACCACTCATTTTTTTTAAAAAATATTATTCCACTTATTTTAATTTTCAGAAAATGGAGACCAAACGGAAGCCATGATGATAAAAGCATTATTTAATATAATTTTGATGGCTTGATCACGACTTGTGTCACGTCCTCAGTAATTGAAAGAATGAGATTCATTCTTTTGGACTTTCTTGGCTAAAACCCTTTTTGGTAATGACTGACTGGCTACCAATTGTTGATTCTTATATTAGAAATATACTATTTTTCAGTTTAAATCATTAATTTATCGAATATACATTCATAGGGGTATATTTTAATTGAATTAATGACTAGAGAGAAATTTTAAACCGGTGACTAATTTAGTGTAAACTGTATGTTAGCTATCAAATACTTAGATGAGTGAATTAATTTCGGTTTGCGTGTCCTAAATCATGATTTTAAAGTGATCAATTCGATGATTGGATGTTTATTGCCAGCGAAAAAGCCGAAAATGAAGGGTCTGTCTAGTCCGGTCCAGGTGGTCAATTTAGAAACTGTGCCTGTCGGCGAACCCATTAATTTTATTTGAAAATCTACCACTCTGCTCTACGGCGAAAAATCCGCCATGTAATAAACCATTTGTAGATTAAAATTAATATATATCTCTTGTTTGAAACACATTTTTTTCATTAAAGTACATTTTTAATAATAATTTGATATTATTTCAATCATATATTTTTTTAATAAAATAATATTAAACGAATACTATTTTTTTATTTTTTAATTACACATTTTTCATCATAACACTAATTCAAAATGAATTTTTTGAAGAAAAAAATAGAGCTCAAACAACCCTATGACTTATAGTAAGAGTTCATTAAATAATAGATCACTAACATTTACTTTCGATTATTACTCGTTCATTCAAAAATAAAGAATTGATTACTCAAAAAAATATTATTCATCCATCACAAATCTCAATTTAGTTCATCCACCTAAACAAAAAAAATTCATGTGTCAAATGCAAATGCTACGTGATCAACAAAATAAAAAATTGACACGTGGACAAAATGACAACCATGTTTTCTCTTTCAAATTGAAAGAATCGTTATTTTCTTATCTTCATAAACATTTTTTTTTCCAATCTTTACATCAAAAACCTAATCGAATGCACGCACCTCCACCTCCATCGCCATAGGGATGTCAACGAGTCAGCTCGCGAGTCGAAGATCGTAGCTTGTGCAGGGCCAGCTTGATTTGATCAAAAAGTTGGAGCTTTTTTTTGCTCGTGCCGAGCCAAATCTCGACCAAAATTTGGACTTGGTCTTTTGACTTGAGCTTCATCGAGCCGTGCTGGCTTACGAAATTTAAAATTTTTTAAAAAAAAAATTCATGAAATATTCATATAAGAAGTCAAGCAAATTATTCTTCTCTATTAAGATACAATAAAAATATTCATATAGATATGAGAATAAATGAATGAGAGTAAAATTTTCAAATGTTTAAACATCCTAATATTCATTTGTAGAATTAAAAATATTGGACTAAAAAATATCTTTTAAGTTTCAATACCACAAAATAACAAATAATATTATATTAACTTCTATATAATAAAATCTAAAGTTTATATCAATAAAATATAATGAGAATAAATAAACATGAGAATAAATTATAAATACAGCTAGTTGTATTATAATTATAAATATTAATTATGTAAGTATAAGTATATTTATATATAAGTTATGATTTATTGAACGTTGACAACGAGTCGGGCCAAGCCTGTGATAGCGGCCATTTTCACGACGAGTTGCATGGGCCAAAATTTGGTCTTGGCCCTAGCCTCCAGTAGATCCGGCCCAATTTTTTTTTTTTTTTTTTTTTTTTTTTTTTTTTTGGTGTCTTCACTGTTTCTATACCATTGTTTTTCATTTTATTAATTGTAAAAAATCTCTCTGATGTAGATACAAGTATGACAATAACACAATAATAGAGGCTTCATCTCCTGATATAAGCTCACAATTACACCATCAGCTTTATGGAAATGGGAAGATTGGAGGTGATGCTTCTTCAAGAGGGTGTGAAAATCAACTTCTGGAAAGACAGGTCTTCCTTCTCTAACTAGTGGCCTCGTTATATATCCTGATTTTTGTTTATTTTTCAATTTTATGTAATACATTTTATTTT